AATTGTAAACACAAGTCACAAGTCGATTATGCATGGAGTTAATTGGAGAGGAAGAATTCGAAATAGAATTAATTATGAAATAATGATTACAAATACGATTAGCTCCGCTATTATATTTTTTATTTCCACGGAGCATGCGTGGATTATTTTATCTCGCGATGCACGCGCTCAGAGGGATGCGTAACACGTTCGTTGTCGCTTTCGCTTTCTTACATTGCCCTTCGATCCACCAGTTCATGCCTCTCCTGTCGTTCCTTGGCGCGATGCCAAAAAAGAATCGTGTCGTCGTTTCTCTCAATTCCGTTCTCGTCCTCGATCAAATCCTGTACGGCGGTCTTTGCCAGACTTTATTTTCCGAATCGAATCGAATCACAGAGATCAAAGACTCGAAAAGGTGGATGATATATTTGCATGATATATATATATATATATATATATATATTTCACAAAAGTGAAACACCGAATCATCAGCATGATTTTGTAAGAAAAATAATAATAATAAAATTCGCGCCTCCTCCAAAAGATTGTCCGATATATATACTTCTGGCCGCCGACGATGGGCAACGTATCGTACGAGTATACGTTCCACTTGCGAGCATTGTTCTTCCCCTCTTTTCTCTCACGTATCCCTATCCCTCGAGTCATTTGTTCTTCCACTTGAAAGATCTCTAAGTCGGGTTTATCTCATCTTTCAGGAGACCGCATTCGATAAAACATATTTTCTCTATATTTTTATATTATATACATATATATATATATACGGTATATATATTTATATATACATACACATCATTTTTATATTGGCACGGAAATTCTATTTATCGAGAAACGAAACGATCGTTGTAAGAGAGATGGATCGAATGAAATAATTACAGTATATACATATATATATATATATGTGTGTATGTATGTATATATATGCACAACTGTTTCGAGTAACACGGATAAACGATCGTTTCGTTTTCACGTTGGCATGCGTACGCACGTGCACCGCACGACTAGCCGCCCCTTTAATTAACCCTTTCTCGTCATCGCACCACCAACGTCATTCTTCTTTTTTTGCCACCCTCACGGGGGGTGTCGTCTATGTTCATGTTCTGCAATCACGAATAAAAAAGAAGAAAAGAAGAGAAAAGCAAGCGAGGAATACAAAAGCTAAAAGAAAAAAGATGAATTAGAAAAAAGAAAAAAAAAGGAAACGAAAAAAAGAAACAGATGGAAAATTATCGCACTTTAGCTATTTGGTCAATCCTGACCGTATCTCACACGCTTTGTTGCCCCTTTTTTTTCTATATATCTTTCTCTATTTTATTTATCTTTTCCTTCTCTGTTTCTTCTTTCCTTACGTTCGATTGAAAAAAAAAAAAAAAAAAAAATTCTCTATCTTGTGCCACCTTGTGACCAAATCCAAACTGTGATAATCCGCAGGGCGAGTCAAACGAAACGAGGATAGCCGTGGCGAATCAGCGTGCGCACGCTCTACTCAAGTAAAATGCGTCTCTCTGCCCACGTACCCGTCTCCTCCGAGCCTCAAACAAAAAAAAAAAAAAATACAAAAAAAATAAAAAATATATATATATATGTATATATATATATACATATATACGCGCAATGCATATATATATATTTATATGTATGTATATATATATATATATTATATCAACTCCAAAAATATTGTACGCTCACACGCCCACGACCCCTTCTTCTGCCTTCTCGTCGTCGGTCGGACATCGCCAACCCGTCAACCCAACTCGTGTCTCCAACTCGATCCACCTGTTTGTGCTACAACGAAATCATCGAGCCTTCCGGTTTACATCGATTTATATATTACGTGTGTTTTATGTCTCGTCTACTTAGTGCAATCTCCCTATATACGCATATATATCGTATTTAATTTCTCTACACTTTACGTAACGTTCTGTAACCCGCGCCATCTTTTTTGTCGTCGCGTTGTCGTCCAACCCGTTTTTTTTTTTTTTTTTTTTAACGTTCACGTCTCGTCGATAATTATATATACATACCTATGATATCCGTACATGTACGTATATATACATGATATGATACATAGTATATTGTAGTACGATGATGATATTGACATTTAACCTTTCTTTAGAATCTTATTTGTCGGATGAAACCCCACAGGATCGTCGTTGTCGCGCCAACTATGTAACACGAGCTCTGTTTCTCCTTTATTGTTAGCATTCCCTTCAATCGATTCAATATTCTCCTCCCCTCCCCCATTGAATATTCAATTTGCCTGTTTTGCCTTTCATCGACCAATCCTCGTTATCGGTCGGATAATTGCATCGATCGGGATGAATTGAATTTATATACGTTTAGAACGAGAAAGGAACGAAAGAGCTCGAGTGAACGAAGGAATAATCGACGACGACGACGACGACGACGACGACAAATCGAACGAACGAGAAAAGAGTAATCCAAGTTAACAATAGGTCGACAATAACATGATCTTTGATCACACACGTTTAAGTTTGGGTTACGATCTTTCGTTTTTTTGTTTTTTTGGCACGCAGGGCGAATCGAACGAGACGAGGATAAAGGTGGCCAACGAGCGAGCCCATCAACTACTCAAGTAAGGCCACTCTCGACCACTTGCACCCCGTCGGCCACCAACAGCACCAAATACCATCATCACCACTATCACAATCACAACTACAACACTATCAACAACAACAACAACAACAACAGTTACAATAACAACAACAGCAATAACAACAACAACAACAACAACACCAGTGTTTATCATAAAACCAGAACTATCAGCTACAAATAATACATACAATCGATTAATCTTCGTTACTCATATACCGTTACTTACGTACTCGTATACTTACTTAATTTATTTGTCACTTTATTTGTCACAATGTACTTATATTCATCGTGAACTTATAGTACAGACGAGTTGACAAATAGGCGATTGAATACGATCGATAACATCGTTCTATGATATGTTCTCTTTCCGTCCTGCGTTTAAATTTCTTTCTTTCTTTCTTTCTTTTTTTTTTTTTTCTCGTTTTTCTTTTCTTTTATCAATTAATCGCGTACGTTATAGAAAACGTCCAGAATGATCATTCATATCAATTTTTTACTCGCAAAGTTAATCGATTTATTTGTTATTCGAACGATCATCGCCTCGAAAAAGTTATTGCCTTCTGGGAAATAAATTGTACCATTGTATGTGCTGTGCCTTTTATTTTCAACGAATGTTAAAAGTAAATTCTATTTGAATATATCGCTTGTACTTTTTTTTTTTTTTTTTTTTTGTATTTGGTTTGTTATTGTAGCCAAGTAGTTCAATTCTTTAACGACTATATATTTTCGTTTCCTTAGAAGACCTTAACGTTCTTTCGTTTGATTTATTTTAAGTTACTATCTTCGAGTGATTTTTCAAAGAATCTGCTCCTACGAACTTCATCTTTAACCCTTAAGAGAGCAAATTTTCATCTCTAAATGTAGAAATATTTAAGACAGAAAGTTAGAAGAGAAAAAAAAAATTAGTTTATTTACGAATAATATTTACATGTAACGAAGATGTCGACGCGAGATAACGTCGTCAAGTCAATTCAGTGATTCGGTAGAGTTTTTTAAAAAGACAAGCAGACGTTTACGCAGAAGTAAAAAGAAAAAGAAAAAAAAAAAAGAGAGATATAGAGAGAAAATGAATAAAAATAATAAACGAGTAAAGATTTTTTCATCTTAATTGCACGTTTATCCAAGTTCTTCCTCTCGTGATATAGCGTTTACACTTTTAACGATTTATCTAAAAAGTTTCTAAAAATAAGAGGAGAGATTATTAACGATAAATTGAAAAAAAATTAAAAAAAAAAAAATAATAAAAAAAGAACAGAATAAAAAAAAAAGATAGAAATCCTTTAGCTAAAAAAAAAAACGAAAACGCGTCAAGTATCGTGCGCCTGTTTAAGGGTTAAAGATTACCCACAGATTAACGAGAACAGAAATGCATATACACAAGAAATGACAACAAGAGTTGTACAGGGAGCGTGCACACGCTGTTTGTTCTTTGCATCGTTGCGCGCATGCGTACGCGCGTCTGCGCGTGTACATGCGCAAACCGAAACGAGTTCTGTACACATACACATGCACAGTTTACATCGGATACGTATACATATACATCGCATATTATACATTCGTATAATCACACACAGAGAGACATCTACACACAGAGAAATAACAGAAAGAAAAGGGATATAATAATAATAGAGATCGCACAGCGTGTGGGAGTGCACATGTGAACGATACATACGCACAGCGAGATCCCCCCTCCCCCTCCCCTTCCCCTAGATAATACATACCATGTAATTTGTTATCACGATTAGCGTTACGACCAAAATATCCGTGTACAGTAGATCGATACTTAGATGGACACCGCGTGTATATGTGTGTGTGTGTGGGTGTGTGTATGCCATGGGGCAGACGCGCGTGTCACGCGGTAAATTCGCAAGCAGCTAGTAGGTCGTAGCGAGCGCGCTAAATGCGAGGAGCAACCTCGTGATATCTTTATGTACGCGTACGATCCATGCTCGTATAGGGGCGAATTTATATCGAACGGATCGAGGGAGCCTTGCCTTAAGCGGCAAATAATAGATATTTAGATTCCTTCCCGAGAGACGATTCGAGTATTATTCCGCTTTGTTCTTTTTCTCGATATACACCGTATATAACACGCTCCACGTGGAACATCGTGCGATCAACGAAATATTCTCGCTCCCCGATGAGAACCCGAGGAAAACGGAACGAATCGCAGCGCAGACGAGCGGAGGAGGGCGTTTAGCGCGACAGCAAGTTCGAATTCTGTGAAGAGAGCGCGATGTTTTCTCCTCTGTGTGGAGAAGGAGGAGAAAGGAGAAGGGAAAGGAGAGAGAGAGAGAGAGAGAGAGAGAAGGTGAAGGAAGGAGAAGATTCGATTGATCTGAACAACGAAGAAGACGCGTCGTTTCGAACAGAATAAAAAAAAGGGAAAAGAGAGGGGGAGAGGGTGCGAGAAAGTGAAGAAAGGAAAGGAAGGAAGGAAGAAGGAAGGTGTGTTTAATGTGTAGATAGAATTTTGTTCATCGTTTTATCTGTCGACTCACCGTAGATCGATTCCGTTTCTTGCGGCCCCGCGCACGCTTAACGCGCCGGGGTTGTCACTGTAAGGTTAAACTCCAAACGAAAGAAATCATGGACGCGGTAGGGAGAGCAAGGAATATAATCGAAAAAGAATAATCGAAGATTGTACATTATTGTATTTACACGAAGCGAAGTACCTCTACCTTTGTATTGTACACGAGCGAAAGAACGAACGAACGAACGAACGAACGAATAATAATAATAATAATAATAATAATCCATTGTACGCTGTGTCGACACGGCGTCGAGGACACCCCCCCCTCCTCCCAGTTGTTCCGTTTTTTGTATCGTGATCTGCGTGTATCCACGTTATACCCATTTATATCTTATCTTCCATCACGATCTTTTTAATTTACACGCGAATTTGTTCTCATTTTAAACTTCGATTTTTTTCTTTCTTCGTATCATACGGATACGATATCGTAAAAATTAAGAATAATTTATAATCTGAATGAAAAGTAAATGAAATAGATAGACGTGGTTACCGCAGATTGGATCCAACACTGCAGATGAGCGATGTTTAAGCTGTCAGCCAGCCTTAACAGTATTCGCATCTTTACACTTACCTCTTTAGCTTTAAGAGAATGCATAGAGACAGAGAGCCAGAGATGCTGTCAGCGCTGACGTTGATCCCCCATCCCCCCTCTTTGTAGCATCAAAATTAGTCCGTAGCGAAGAGAAAACGAACATGTATGGAACGAGAGTGAGAGAGAACGAGCGAGCGAGCGAGCGAACGAACGAGAGAGAGAGAAAGAGAAAGTGAGAATGAGCATATATACGGAGTACGAAAAGATTTCGTCGTGCAGATTTTTTTTTTATGTAGATCACGTTCAGTGAAGCAAGAGATACGTGTGTACCGTATTATTAGTATATTGTCGATAAGCATGATGATTTCGATACACATAACTACGTATTATATATATATATATATATGTAAACTTTTTTCTGAATTTAACAAATTAATCATATATATATATATCGATATTGTATAAATATTGTAAAAGATATCGCCCTCGAGTCGCGCGCGCTGCGTTTATGAATCGAGCACAAAGAAGAAAGGAAATATATTACGCGTAGCTCCTTTCGATTTCGCTTGTTCGTTTGCTTTTATTATTGAAATAGCGATGCAGGAAGCGTGGAAAGAGAGGAATCTGTGGCTTGCAAAAATTCTTGGACGCTTCGCCGGACGAACGTACTAAGAGAAATTAAAAGAGAGAATGAGAATGGAAATTTGATGAACGGGAGAATAGAGCAAATGAATGAATGAGAGGGAGAGAGAGAGAAATAGAGAACGAATGGTAACCGATGTTGGTAATAATTATGATTGTTACTCGAGATCGTTAGGCCTATCGTAATTATTTACTTTAACAGAGAAGAGATATACAGAATAATTATAAATAGGTATAAATATATATATATATATATAAAGATTATATATATATATATGATACAAACATATACATGCATACATGTATGGAACGAGCGCGGTGAGCCCCCTTCTTATGTAGATCTTTAAAAAGGAAAAAAAAAA